ACATCTGAGCAGGCAAACTGTGCCTTCTCTGAGCTCAGGAATGCCAAGACTTTCTTTTAGCATATGGGAAGTTTTATAAGGACACAGACTGAGGCAGAAAGCAGTGCAATTCAAAGATCATCCATCTCTTCTAGTGATAGTAATTTCTTACCTTTTACGTCTCTGTGAATCTAAAAGCACTTAGAAAGAAATTGGTATAAATTTTCCCCATTAGCCCGTCGTCACCTAATAGCTGACTTAGAGCTTGAACTGGAGGGCTGGGCTGGCAGTCTGGGGAAACACTGGTGCCAGGGGCTTTGCCAGGCTGGGGAGAGGCAACTCCTGACTGGGATGTGGGTTTGGCACTGAGCTGGTGTTGCTGGAACCTCAGCCTGTTCCCCGGATCACAGACCATTGGAGAGCTGGTGTGTTTACAGCAGGTGCCATTCCTGCTCTTCTCACTCCGTGCAGTGACAGGGAACACAAGGCAGCACATCAGCTCTGCAGCTTTTCACCAGTTTCCTTATTTATTTTGGACTGGCCAAAAAGTGAGGAAGACAGGTTTTGTACAACAAGCCTTTTGCTTTCTTGCAGCTGTACCGAGTGCCTTGGGAAAGCCAGGCAGCCTGGAAATGATTGTCTCGGTAGGGTTATTGCTTTGCAAGGGTGTGGAGTGGAAAAATCTAGGGTGGCTTTATTTTATTAATTTTTTTTAGCCTCCTAAATCCGTTGTTATAAGTTGAATTCCTCTTCTAGGTCCTAAATTTACTCAGGAGATCTGTAAGGGAGCCCTTGTAGCTCCTCCTGTGTGTCTGAAGCGTGGGCTGGTTGTTTTTGAAGCAATAGAATGTGACAGTCAGAAGCCAGTTAAAAACAAGGGATTTCAATACCTGAGCTCATGTTCCAAGGACTGCAGGCTGATTAGCTCCTCTTGTCTCCTGGATCCAATTACTCACCTGTAAGTAAAGCATTTCTGAGTCCCCCAAACAGGTTCTGATATTATCAGCGGATTTAGGCAACTCCAAATCCTCCCAGTAATCTGAAGAAGTGGGTTTTCTGTCTTCACCCAGGAGGCAGATAAAACCTCACCCTCGGTATGTGCAGTAACACAAATGTGTGTCACATCTGCTTTCCTTTTATATCTTCTTATTCTAGTTGACAACAAGAGTCAGATGTACCAGATATGCTTAATCTGGAAAAGAGTGTCAGCACTATCAATTTTTTCTCTGCTTTCATATTTCTTGCCCTTTTAATACTCAAAGCTGCTGATCTCACTTCTCCTGGCCATCCTTCTTTTTCCCATTTCTGTTTCTTTGACTTTAGGCAACTCACTGTGTATAAACTTGGTTCTTCCAGGAGGAAAAGAAACTACAATAATAAATGAAGCCTGGTAGATTTTGTGAAGGTGGAAATAATGTTGCAGAGGACACGGTGTTTGTGACTGTTGGTACTTCGTGGTAGGTCTGTGTTTATTTTAGAAGTGTCTTGGTTACTGCTTGCTTTGCTGTTACTTCTTCCACACTTAAAAAAAATAACACTAAAAATGCAGCAAACAGAAGGGTGGCATTTCTTGGCTTTAAAAAGGAATTGGAAGAGAAAACACTTTTCCATACTGAAAACATTGCAAAATAACCATAACAATAATAAAATATTTGTTCATCCAAAACAACAGTTGAGATCAAAATACCACAATACTTTGGGGAGGAAAAACTTGGAATTTGGAAGGTTGCACTGAATTTTTCCTTTTCTTCTACACCCTGTTTTCCAGGTGGTTGGTTTGTTGCAGGTTGGTAAAACATCATCTCTGTTCCTGGAATTTATTCCTCTTTGTGCTTGTTTCAGTTAAATCTCCCACGGGAGTGGACACTCCTGCCACGTGTCTACAAGACTGACCTTGTAGCAGCTTTGTGAAAGGGTGCAGGAACCTTAGGCAAGGTTGGGAAATGGGAATTGCAGTAATGGAGATGGTTGGTGGCTTGACCAGAGTTTAACCTCCCTGGTCTGTCTCCATGGTGATGTTCTGGGATGTGGCTCAGGAAGCACTGCAAGGGGTTGCTTTCTGGAGGGTCAAATTGGAGGCGATGCCCAAACCATGAACCTGGGAGAGGCTGGGGCGGGGACATGGGGGGCAGTTTCAGTGCAAATGGGGTTTCCAGGTTGGGTTTATGCTTGGCAATATTGTAAGGCAATTACAAGGAGGGCAAGGCCAAGTCCCTGCTGTAGGAGGCCCCTGGTCAGGAGATCTCGGTACAATACCTGGGAGGAATTGACCCTCCTATCTCTGGAAAGGAGGAATCGAAATCATGATGGAAGGAGACACACTGAGAGCTGAGCTATTTGTTTCTGAAGGGAGGGGAGAAGATGGACTTTAGAGGAGAACATTCTGTTGCACTGAAAGCAGAACTCCCTATTTACTTCAGGAGAAAGAACCAGGGAAGTTTTAACAGTGGTGTTTTGTTGGAAAACTAATATCTCATGTTAACTACACATCTGCAGAACAACCCTTTCTGTATGACACTTAGAGATGGCATGGGCTCCTGAGATCCCTGGTTTGAATCATTACCCCTCTGGAACTCACCCTGGGCCTGATATTCCTGACAAGGATAAACCCAGCTGGTTCAGAGTAGCAGAAACCAACATTTATTGCAGTCAGCTATTGAGTGATGATAGTCCTTCCAATGTTGCTCTTGTTGCCAAATTTGCTTTCCAAACCCCTGAGGACATTGCTGAATGTGATTTTTCACACTCCTGCTTTTTGCCACCATCTCTCACTTACCTTTACTTTCCAAGTGTCAAACTGTTTTCTTTATCATTTAGCAAGAACATTTTGAATGAATTCATATGGTAAAAGAAATCTGGCAGGCTCTTCCCATCTGTTCTGGAGAAAGCTGCATTCCAGAGGTCGTGGGATGGGTATGTGAAAGGGAGAGTGCTTGGTGCATGTGACATGCAATTTTTTTAAAACAGCTTAAGAAAAGTACATGAAGAAGAATGCAGAATTTCAGCTCATGAGAACTGGCAATTGAAATAGCTCCAGGATCTGTGGGTCAAGAGGAGAACTTGGTGAACTTCTGCATAGAGGAGATACTTTCCTAGTGCCACAAGATGCTTTTCACGTGTCCTGTGCACAGTGCAAGAGAACCAAACGTGTGCAGGGACACTGAGGAGAAAACAGAGGGGAGAAATCAGAGAACTGATTTAGGCAGTGAAAAGCCAAAGCAAAGCCATTGGCTTTGAGGGTACAGCAGGGCAGCCTGGTCTGGGCCCATCTGAGAGCTCGTACACAGGGCTCTTATCTGTTCTAATCTTCTTCTAAGCATGATTGGTCTTACTGAGAATAAGAGGCATCTACCAAAAATACTACAAACTTGAGGAAAACTTTTTTTACAGTAATACTCTTTAAAAGGAATTTATTTCTTGAAGTAAGATGCTTCAATGAAACAAAGAAATGTACATATATGAAATTAGATTTGCCTATGAAGTCGTTGAATTTAGGCTTTGCATTAGTTTGAACATAAAAACATTCATAAAGTTCCCTTAGTTTGACTTTGCTGCTGTTTCCCCCTTCCATTATCGGCTGGATTTTTGTTTTCCTTACTGACAGTGTCTCATTCATTTGTTCTTGTTCATGATCTGTGAGTGCATTTGGATTTTATTGTGCATGCAGAATTCCAGCTTATTGCCTTTGAAACACATCCTGGCTGGAGCCACTGCAAGTGTAAACAAGGTGCTGAAAGCTGGAGTGCAGATGGAATGTGAGGAGTCTGTGAGCCCAGGGACACAAATCCACTCTGAGAGAGAAAGGAACAGGATTCCATTGGTTATTAGTAGATAATTATTACATATAATTATATAATTATAAAATATGTAATATATTTTATATTTAATTATGTTATATAATTGTTATTATTTAACCCCAGGCCCCCTTCCATCTGCAGAGGAGCTGCAGGGGACAGAATAGGCAGGATGACTTCCAGGACCTGGACACAGGACTGGAAGGAATGCTGAGTTTGCTGATAACACTGAATTGGGAAGAGCTGTTGATTCCCTGGAGGGCAGAGAGGCCCTGCAGAGAGACCTCAACAAACCAGAGAGATGAGCCATCACCAAGTGTGTGAGTTTAACAAGGGCAAGGGGGGGATTCTGTACCTGGTTGGGGCAGCCCTGGCTGTGTTATGGACTGGGAATGAGGGACTGGACCCACCTGGGGTCCTGGTGGTGCCAGTTGGCCCTGAGTCAGCAGTGCCCTGGCAGCCAGGAGGGCCAACCCTGTCCTGGGGGCACCAGGGAGGGGATTGTCCCGCTCTGCTCTGCCCTGGGGCGGCCTCACCTCAACATTGGGGCAGTTTGGGGGGTCACAATGTAGGGAAGGGATTGAGCCATTGGAGAGTGTCCAAAGGAGGCCACGAGGATGGGGAAGGGCCTTGATTTGAAGGTGTGTGAGGACACTGAGGGCACTTGGTGTGTTCAGCTGGAGAAGAGGAGACTGAGGGGAGACCTCATTGGGGTCTGCAACATCCTCCTGAGTGGCAGCAGAGGGGCAGGTACCCATCTCTTCACTCTTCTGACCAGTGGCAGGACTCTAGGAAGCAGCTGGAGCTGTGTCAGGGCAGGCTCAGGTTGGATCTCAGCCAAAGGTTCTTCCCCCAGAGGCTGGTTGGGCACTGCCCAGGCTCCCCAGGGCAGTGGGCACAGCCCCAAGGCTGCCAGAGCTCAGGGAGGGTTTGGCTGATCCTCTGGGGCACAGGGGGTGACTCCTGGGGCTGGGCCTGTGCAGGGCCTGAGCTGGACACACTATCTTTGTGGGTCCCTTCCAACACAGGATATTCTGTGATCCTATAATTCACTTCTTTCCTGTTGACTCACCCTTTCTCTTCTCTTGATGCCTGAAGTCTCCAGGAGCTCCTGCACGTGCAGCTGATGTCACCTGACAGCCAAAGCAAACCCTGCACTGGGTGTTTGTTACCCAGAGGGGAGTAATGGGGTTCAAACACAAACTGCAGGGGTCAGCTGGTTGTGTTGTTGAGCTCATCAGACAACCACCCCCATCACCTTCTGTCCAGAGAAGCTTCCCTGTGGCTGGTTGGTAAATCGTGTGCAAACCTCTAGTGCCTGGTGGGAGGTGTCTGAGTGTCAGACCTGAACACAACTTGCTCCACTTGGCTGTGCTCCTCTAGAAAGTATTTACAGAAGTTCACTCAAAATAAATTACATTCTGATCACTTCAAGTTATTGTAATTGAGAAGATGGTCAGAGAAGGGCAGGTAGGAAATTACCAGGAGCTTGGAGGATTTGATTAATAAGGAAAATCACTAGAAGGTGCAGAGAGTGATGGAGGGAGAGATGGAATATAATCCACTATAAATATTTGAAGAACAATACTCAAGACAGAAGCAAAGTGAAACAGAGAGGTATGAAATAAATGCAAGGGGGAGGCAGGTTCCTGACAGTGAGATGTTTCAGGCTGTGTGTGCAGCACCTCAGAGGGACACATGGCCAGTGGCACATCTTAAAACTGAACCAAGGGGACAAGGAGTGACACCTCCAGCAGGCAACCCTTTGTGGGGAGGCAAGAGATGAGGAGTGACTTAGCCATTCCTGGCAGGATGCAGCACTGATAACATGGCTTTGCTGTTTTGAAGTTGAGGCATCAGGTGGGTGTGCAAATGGGAACAAGAGAGTTGAGCAGTTTAGAACCCGTGGAAGGGAACAGCTGGAAACTGCCAATCCTGAGATTTCGGGAAAAGTACAGCTTCTGATTTCATCTTGAATTAAAAAAATGTGCTTTTGTGACATAAAATGGATTTGGAATTGTGTGTTAGCTGTGAGTGTGTGTTAGAACTGTCCCGGTTGCTCACAGTGCTGTGGCTGTCAGAGGTGTGTGAGAAGCCCCCAAACCACATTGTAGGAGGAACCCCGTGCTCGCGGGGCTCAGGGTAGGACTGACAACCACTTGCTGACTGCTCAGCACACTTAATGGAAAACACCTTTCTAAAGCCACTCAAACCACCTCAACCTGCAAACCAGGAGGATTGCAACAGTTACCTGGCAGTGTGTGACTTCTCTTCGGGCTTCTCCACTCCTGGGTGGGGAAGGTCTCCAGCCAGCCAGGCTCCTGGAGAGCCACATCTCTGCTCTTCCCTCCTTCAGCCACTTCCTCCGAGTTAATTCCGTGCAATCAGGCAACACAAAACGAAATGGAGAAACTCATGTCTGTGTGGTATGTCTTTATGTTATAATGATTCTCAGTTGTCCAAAATCCTCGGCAGGAGCACATCCCAGTAGATCTATAGAACTGTCTCCAGGATTTAGTATAAATTCAATATTGTCAGCAACAAAGAATCACAGTGCTCTCATTGTATTTGACTTCTAGTGAAGCCATTACTGGAGTCATGTCTTTTATTTATATTAACATGTTGTTAACTGTAAGCTAATAAAGATGCAAAATGCCTGAAATCAATTAGGTACAGATTTAAGGAGTGTACATAAAGGAAATTTTCTGATTTACTTTCCCGTTTGTTGAATACAGACCTTGCATTACTTTGAACATGAAAGCAATCAATTGACTCTGTTTAATTCCATTAATTAATTTCTGCAATCGTTTTCCTTGCCTCTTTACTTCAGTTTAAAAACACCTGGATCCCAGTTAGAAAATTCCCTGAAGTCGTAACAATTTCAAATTAGGAGGTTTATTTAAAAATATCATTTGGGCTCTAAGAGCTTATTAGTTAAAAACTGTTCCAAGATAATCTTCAACTTCACAGAAGGAATTAATGTTTTTAAAAGTACTTTTGCTTCTGTTTTTCATTAATTTTTGTTTGCTTTTTTATGAATCTGTAACTTGAGAAGTATGGAAAGCTTCTTTCTCAATAAAGAGAACTTTTCAAACATTCCCAAGCCTATAGTTTGGTTTTTAGTCAGGGAAAAGCCTATCAAATTATTTTTTTGCAGTATTTTGTCCAAAATATTGAGAGCTCTTTATATAACTGCTAATTAAATTATGTCTGGTAAGAATACAGGTTTTTTTCTGTGCTGTCTAGCTGTGAACCAGATTCTCTAATGCATTTCTGTTGTTGTCAAAAGCTGTTGCTGAACTGCAGAACATCAGGACTGCAAATAATGGCAACTGTGGAGCTTTTGGGAAACTTCTTTGTTGGATGGATTTGGGTTGGATTTTGTATTGGCCATGGACACTGCAAATCTGATAACTTCACTGCCAAAATAAACATAAAAGAGGCTATAAATCATCTGGAGATCAGTCCCTGCCCTTTGGACACTCTCCCAACTGTCCCCTCTTCAGAGCTGGGTGGCCTCTTGTGTGCAAGTGAGGGCTGGGCCAGTGGCACCTTTTAAAAACACCCTTGAAAACCTGCATTTCTAATGCACTGAATAGCCTGCCCCAGTCTCAGAGCACCTGAGCAATGTCTGAATTTAGGGATATGAGTACTTGGTTCCACCCACAGGCTTCACCAGCACTTGTAGGTGTTGGATTCAGAACTTCAGTGATGAGTTAGGGGCTTGGAAACTGGGAATCTTGAACAGCAAGACAGCCCCCAAGACAGCTGATAATCCCAAACCCCAGAAGGGTTGTTTTTTTACAATTAGAAAGTGAAACACTCATGAATAATGTATGTGGTCAAATCAGTTAATCACAGAAAGAGAATCGGGCTGTGTGTGCTCCACTTTCATCTTCCCTCTCGGGAAATAGGAGGGGAAGAGGCCACTTCTGTTCATTCTTCGAGAGGAAGGAGCAGCAACAACAGCTGGAGTTGGCTGGGGCAGAGGCTTGTGCTGTGAGATCACTCTGGAAAACAGAATTAGTAATGGATTAATGGATCAAAGTTGTGGAGTTGTGATCTGACCTGTGGTTGTGTCACCCAGCGTTTGCAAGGGAAGTGCTTTCAAATGTGCCTCTAAATGTGCCTCTGTCTCATCCTCTAATGAGACAGAATGAAGAGGAATCCTTCAGGGAGAGGATGAGTGAAAACCAGCAGCTCTGCCACTCCCCTCGGCTCACATTGCCTGGGACAATAAGGGTTTCTAAAGGCACTGGGGGTGTGTGGATGGGTGGGCGTAGGTGGGATGTGCCGGGGGATAATCGAAGTTTTTATGTCCCCTGGGGCTCTGTTCTGGTTGAACTCTTTAGTTACAACGGAAACAGATCAAAGTGGGTTTGGGTTTGGGTTTTTTTGGCTTTGTTTGTTTGTTTTTGAAACCAAGTGGGTTATTTGGGCTTCTTTCTGGGAACAATTTTCAAGGTAGATCTTCTTTAAGCTGTAACTACTCTTGGGGGCAGCTGAGACTGAGGAACCCCAGAGCTGTGGGTGTTGTCTCCCACTATATCTGGAGGCAGTGAAGTCTCAGGGGGCTGAGAGAAAAATCCCCTCAGATCCTGCTGCATCTTACAAAAGCAGGCTTTTAGTGGCTTTCCCAGGATTTGACTAAAAGTCCCTTGGCACGCTGGAGAGTTGTCATGGATACTCCAACTCCAGGACACTGCAGCCCATCATTGGTTACATTTATGAAATGTTCAACACTTTTAACTCTGCTCTCAGTGCCAGTGCAAACCCACATCAAAGCAGATGGTACAGCACTACAGGAATAACCTCTTTACCTCCTCGGCCTTGGGGAGGGCTCTGCTGCTCAAAAAGCTCCAGCAGTGCCAATAAGCATCACCTGAGCACCACTGGGGCACCTTTTAATGTAAATAAAGGTACAGTTTGTCGTGGTTTCACTGGAGAGCCCTCGCTGCTATACATGGACTGCCTTTTTCAGCTCAAAGCGTTCTGTGCTCTCTTAATTTGAGTTGAGCTATTTTGGGTAGGTGACATCAGCTGCTGAGCACTGCCCTACAATCCCAGAGCTGGCTGGTGGATTTTGGAAGCTGGGGGAGAAGCGAGGATAAAAGATTGACTGGATTGTTTCTTTTATTGTAAAGATGTGGGGAGAAGTTTTTTCCTGTTCAACTTGCAAACTGGAGACCATAAGGAAGAGTTGGAAATAAGAGCCATTATTAACCTGCCTTGGCTTTGGAGTGGGTCTGGATTTGATAGTCTGGCAGAATCTACCCTGTTTCTCTGTTTAATTGCCAATTAGTGCAATGGATCTCTGTGCACTCTTTGGAATTAATTTTAGTGAGGTGCTGACAGATCCCAAGGAGGAGCCAGCTGAATAGGAGATGGTTCCTGAAAGGCAGCTGCTTTCATGTCTCCTGAAATATTCCTTCCAGGAGCTGACAGCACCAACAATCCCCGTGTTAGTGCTTTCCTGAGCAGATGTAGGGAAACAAATACGTTTTTTCACAAAACTTAGCTTTTGGGCCTGGTTCTAGTAAATCATTTAAACTGACATAAATGAGTAAGCTGTCAAGTGCACCACATGATTCCCCTTTTTAATGCTAAAAATAATGAATTGTAACTTCGGGGAGAGCAGGGCACTGATACTTGGCTTGAGTGAGGCAGCCAGGGAAGGGCTGATTGAAGAAAGTGTGAGAGCTAATAATGATAACAATAATAATGCCTTCAGACTGCAGCAGTGGGGGCTGATAAATCTCTAATTAAAGGTGGTGTTCACCTCCCAAGCACTGTCTGCCACTCTGGTGTTGAAATGCAGCCCTGCCTCTCATCTCTCATCTCCACTGCCAGTAACTCTTCCTACACCTCAGTCATCCTCCACTACTTTGTTTCACCTCTTATGCAGAGTATTTTTCTGATCTGATTCTTGCAAGTGAAGCAACAATATCAGGTAAGAGAGGATCAGACAGGGAGTTAATCCTCCCTTTCAAAAAAACCCCAGAAAAAGTCATGGTGGTTTTGAAGTGTAAGTGCAGGAATAAATACAGGAAGCTTGCATTTCTTTGGATCAATGACTGAATTGAAATTGGATGAAACATTGATTTTTATTTTTTTTTTATTTTTTTTGGTGTGGCAGAGATGCACTAAATTGCATCAAAGAATGCATCTGTGTCATAAATTAGAAGTAAATCGTGTATGTGCTTATGGCAAATGGTTCTAGTGTTATTCAGGATGAGAGTAATAAATCCTGAAAGCCCTGCATCCTGCTGGGAGAGATGACAGGCCTGTGAAAAGAACAGCTGTGGTTTGTAGGCCCTGCTATAAACCTCCTTTGGGGTTTGTGAGACCCCTGAGGAGCAGCAGCAGAACGGTGTTGCTTTCCAAAGGGATCAGCTCCTGGGGGACTTGGTGCAGCCCCTGGCAGTGTCCATGGGAACACTCCAGTGGAAAGGTGCAAGATCCTTTTGTAAAGCAAGAGGAAACTTTGTAAGGACAGTCACTTTTCTGAAACAGTTGTGTGGTTTGACTCGTCGCAGCATTTCTTGTACATCCAGGAGAAACTGTAAAACCATCCTTGTGATGGGGCTGGAAAAGTGATTCTGGGAAATCTGCAGTGCAGTGGATCTGCAGTCAGGAACTCCAGCCTCAGGTACACTCACTTTGCAAGGATAAATCAAAACTGCTTAAAGGCTTTAGAGACACTGAAGGCAACACCCACCTTCTGCGTAGTTAAAACATCAAAAAGGAAAGAGGCCTTGATAATAATGAAGTTTGGGAACTTGAGAAATTACAGAGGTCACTTCAGATCCCATTGGCCCAGAGCAAAACTGCTTCAAGGCATTTTAGTTTTCTGACCCTCTTTGTACATATTTGAAAGCCACAGCTTTTTACCCAAAGTGCTCTAAAGAAGATTAAACAGCTTTTTAACATCTGCTGTGTTCATAGTGTGTAGGAAGAGCTCTCAGTTGCTGGTAAGATAGATGGGTTTTTACTTCATTTGGAAAAGGTGTTTAAACATACTTTGATTTATGTTTTTGTGTTCTATTATACTCTGAAAAGGGGTTGTAAGAAATGCCTTGCTTTGGTGATTTTTGTTCAAAAGGAAAGAAATGCTTTAAAAACAAAGCACACCCACATCTAGAGGTCAGTTCTCCTGCAGGTGGAAACAGCAGCATCTGTTTAACAGCAAGTGGCCACTCTGGGTAATGATGTGGTACAGAAGTACAGGAATACAGGGGAAACCTGGGAAAAATTGGAGGGCAAAAATATAGACTGGTTGTAAGAGCAACTAATATTTAACAAGTGTGTGACAAATGAAGGATTTAATAAATTTAATGTAATAAATCCACCTTTCTTACATTGCGTGATAATATATAAATCACAGGTATGATTTTATATGATGGTGTCTTGCCTGGCACTGCTCATCAGAGAGAGCCTTTGTCAGGACAGAGAGGGGTCCTGGGACATCAGGGCTTGGCATGGCCATACTTGTCTCCACACTGGCTACTGGCTCTGGACTGGGACTACTGGACTGCCAAAGGTCTTGGATCTGGAAAGGAGAGGGAAGTGGGGCCTGTGTGAGGGGCCAGAGAGAGGCCTCTGGACTCTGGAGGGACAGGCTGGTGTTGGGGCTGAGGGAGGGGCTCCCAAAGGAGCCTGGGGGTTTGGTGAGCACACCTCAGTGACACTCATCTCTGCACAAGGGCATCTTGGAGTCCATGAATCCCATGTATTGAGGTACTGGCTGCTTCCCAGGAACTCTCAGGAGAGGCTCCAAGTGAGGAAGGTCTGGGCTGGAGCAGGGAGTGAGACAGAGCTGCCCCTCGGGCCTGGGGAGTCCCAGAACCCCAGAATCAGTCAAGTTGGGAGGGACCCCCAAGGATCACGGAGTCCAACCCTCGGCCCTGCACAGGCCCAGCCCCAAGAGTCACCCCCTGTGCCCCAGAGGATCAGCCAAACCCTCCCTGAGCTCTGGCAGCCTTGGGGCTGTGCCCACTGCCCTGGGGAGCCTGGGCAGTGCCCAACCAGCCTCTGGGGGAAGAACCTTTGCCTGA